CGCTGAAATTTCCATGAAGTCGGATCTATAAAAGTGAAATAAAAATAAAAATTGGACACACCAAATTGATAACGGAGTTCGGCCAATAATGCCTACGTCTCCGGACTACTGCAAATATTTTATTAGGAGAAAAGAAAACACTCGTGTTTACAAACACTATCAAACTCACTCACAACTCACAACTCAAATACAGTAGCTAAAACTTTTATTTTCTGCTCCCTTTCTTTTTCTCTCTTTCTCTCTGTATTTGGTTCTTTTTGTTGTGGTGCCTTTTGTTCATCGAAATCCATCTCTATTTATAGAGTGGAAGTGCACACCTTTTTCAATATGTGTGTGCTTAATTTTCCACAAAAAAATCAACATGAGGGCTGCTGCAATTTTTTAAGGGCTGCCTCTCTTCATTGTCAAAAAATGGCGGCTGTCAACAATTGATGGCTAACAATAATTGTAAAAAAATAATAATTAATTTGATACATCATATCAAAAAAAAAAAAAAAAAAATTATGAATAAAATATATTTATTAGTTTTGAAATAAGTTTAATTTTGTTGTAATTTTACTTAATAGTAAGGATAAAATCCAGTCTATGTGAGCTATCTTGAAGAACCAAAATTGATGCATACTGCTGCAGTTGAAATTTAAGTTCAAGGATTTTGTAAATAGGCTTTGCATACATTAATTGTTTGGAAGCATACAAATCAAAATTCGAGAAATTTCTGCATTTATAGATAATCACATAAATCAACAATTCACATTTAAGTTCGCAAATACATAAATTATGCCGAAGCATATAAGAGCATTTATAATGCATTCTTTTAAAAAGGTAAAAAGTTATCCACCTAATCTAGATAGAAAGTGTGTGAATAATATATCCTCCAATGCATTAGATTATGGGTCCTTTCATGCTTATATGTAAAAAATTAATGTTAACATTGTCAAGCTCATTTTCTAATTTCTCACATTCTTTCTAACATGATGACTCATCATTTTGATAATTATTTGACACAAATTTTGAGCTTTTCATAAACTTTGAAAAATCCCACCTTTACATTTATCCAATAAAACATTTGAGAATTTATTTGAATACAATATAATTATTTGATGAGTTACAACTAAAATTTATAAAATTTATCAATAATAAGGCCCTTAAAAGTAAAATATTATGTTCATGATATTTGTTTGTTGAGTTATTGCAATTTTAATATTTTGTTGTTTTATTTTGAACCAATTTAGAAAATATTTATTGTGTGGTTATACATATTGTAACTGAGAAATTATTGAATAAATAATAATTTTATAAATTTGATGATATAAATAAAAATTAACTGAATCAACAAAAAATAACATCATGCATATAATTATTGGAATTTGTGGTTTTTTTCTAATATACTCTTTGATTTTATTAATAATTGAATAAATCCACATATACAAATTGTATGGTTGTTGAATGGATGCATTGGAGACAACAATTCAAATGAAAGTCTTATTCTTTTAACATTCAGTTCATGTAGATTAAACATTAATCCATTGATTGACATGTGTTCAAATTTAATTAATGTTGAAAGTTGAGCATTGAAGATGCTCTAAGATTGTTACATACCACCATTCAGATAATTTTGGATTTATATTATAGGAAAATTTTACATCCCGTTACGGAATCATTTCGTTGGGATTTATAATCATTAGATGCATATGTACATTACTGTAGCATGTGCATCTAATGGTTGAAAATCCCAACAGAATAGTTCTGTAACGAGACTGTAGCATTACCCTATATAATATATAGAGATAGAAATTCATGTTCAAATCAAATTTTTGGTAATTTTTGTTGTTTTACATTTTTCTAATGTCAACTTAAAATTTTGTTCCAATTGTACTTCTATTTTGTTTTCCTATTAACCATAGCCACATAAGAGCATCTCCAATGATATTTTGTCCATTTTGGGTTGCATGACATGAAGGAAGGAGCTTAAGAAATCGTGTCTTCAATGGGTAATGTTAAAGATGGTTTAATTTATACCGTGTACTTCACTTGGAATGCGAGGAATAAATTGATTTTCGAAAGTGAATATCAACCCCCGAGCCTTGTGATCCATTAGGTAAAAACTCATGTCTATCGCACTATTTTTGTGCTATACCCGACTGTGCTAGCCGAGTTTGAAAGGCGGAACTTTGGCCTTTGAGAGACCTTTTATGTGCATTTGGAGTTTGAGAGTTGTCCAGCACACATGCGCCGACAGGTAGACCCTCTCGCCGACCGTAGTACTGAGTTCCCATTCACTCTCTTTGCTTTTCATTGACATTTGAGCGAGTAACCGGCCTGTTGTTGTCCTCCTAGTCCTTTCTCTGGTGAATGAGGAGCCGAACTTATGGCTGCTCATTGTGCTTTTGTATGCCGTCTTACGATTGTTCGAACCTTAGGTTTGATCTATATATTTACATTTATCGATAAAAAAGATGGTTTAATTTGACATGTGTAAAATTATAATTTGTTGAAAAAAAAAAGAAATAATTTGAATAAATAATATAATATATAATACAAGTTGTCTAGAAGTACTTCTATATTTTGAAAGACTTCTAAAATTTTTGTAGGTCACATAAGTTTTTTGTAGCATGTGGCAATAAAACGAGGCAATTCAAATACCATTATCGGAGATGCTCTAATTGAATTTGATTTCCTTTTTAGAGAGAGAGAGAGAAACAAATCTATCCCGAGCGGGTTTCAAAAAAATTCAAAATTTGTCCTCAATAGATTTTGCCTTCAATCTAGGGTTACAGCGCTTATTTCTCCCCCCATTTTTTGTTCTCTCATCAATTGAGCCCTAATTATTTTTGAAAAATTGGAGCATAAGCAATGGTGCGAGCGGTGAAGAGGGAGATGGTTAAAGGCAGCAGTCGTGTTACTCGAAGCAGTGCGCAGAACAACAATGGCGGACAAGCTGCAAACGAGAACAGCGGAGCTGAAGATAGCGCCGTCGAACGCAGAGTTCTTCGTTCGAAGTATCTCAGATTTAAGAATCGGATTAGCGGTAATTTGAGTTATTTTGGTTTGTCATGGTTTTGGCATTTATGGATCCGCAAAGCTTTGGTGAGAATGAATTTGATCTTTTTGGAAGGATTTTGTGAGTTTTATTTGGAACTTGTTGGCGATATGTGGGGGTGTTCTACTTCTGTAGTGTTGTAGCTGAGGAAGTTTTGAACAATGTATGTTGAGTCACATTTGAGTAGCTTAGAACGTTCAATTAGCAGTTTGTATGTTTTGTTTTTGTTTTTTACTATTTTGCACGAGGAACTTCATATGGAGTTTCTTATACAAAGGTTGAATCTTTGTCATCGAATGCGGAAAAAAGTGGAGTCATTGTTTCCCTGAGAAAGTGTGCCTTTTCAATTCCAATTTGCATGGATGAATATTTTAGTTTCGAAAATCCTATGCTGGTGTGATAAGTTAACCTTTTCTTCTCTATGCAGATGAGAGAGATGATTTATCAAAAGTTGATTCAGATAAATTCAAATCAATGATTGAAGAAGTTGATAGCTTGCACCAGCTAGGTATTATTTCCGAGGAGCTCTTTTCTTCAGATGTTACTTTTCTTTGTTTCTCTTTCTAAATAGTCTACTCTAGTGTGTGTGTGTGTGTGTGTGTGTGTGTGTGTTCTACTTTTCCATATGTAGTGAGTGTTTGCATGAAGATGTGAAGCCACTAACAACAAAAGAATCAGACAAGTTGTTCCAATGGTCCGAAGTCTTATCAACAGTCATCAAGTTTTATAGTTTATTATCCAAAATTCTGAATGTTACAGGAAGAAACAGGAAGGCATGGGATGTGGAAGTATCCCATAATTTATTTAGATGAACTATTGACAACTACATTAACTTGCAGAAGTTCTAATAATACTTTATTGCAGTGTTTTAATTTCACCTTCTAATGAATCCAGCATATGCAATGCCTCTCACATTTTCTTTGATTTTCATTCAGTTCAAAAGCCCAGGGAACAAGTAGCAGATGCTGAAGCTCTGTTTGACATTACAAACACATTGGTGACCTCTGTCAAAGCATTTAACAATGAAGGCGTGACCCCTTCAGATTTTGTTAGTTGTCTTCTTAGGGAGTTCACTCAAGATGGTAGACCAAGCAGTAGCCAGAATGAGGGTAGGAGTTTGATATGCTGGAAAGACATCGGACAAGTGGTCTCTCATGTTTTCAGGAGCGCTCCTGGTTGCTGCACGATGTAATAACTATTCCAAGCTTTCTCATTTTTTTTATTTATTTATTTTTGTTTCTCGTTCTTGAGTAAGCATGGTATAATTCTTCTATTTTTTTTTTCTTTCTTGCTTTACAGGATTGGGCCCATGAACACTGAGCTGAAACAGCGTAAGATTGCAGTTCATAGAAAGCGTGCAAGACCGACAGAAAATGAACGCCCTGAAGAGGTCCATTTTCTGCCTTTGTGGCAAATCTGTCTATTTATATAACTTGCTGCATTATGTTTTGGAGGACAAATAATACAAAATGTGAATTCATACACGAAATTTAAACGTTTATTTTACTTGTAAAAGGTTTGTTGCTTGTGTAGAGAACAACCTCCCTACATCCAGTGAGTAATTTGCAGATATCTGATTGAATTTTACTGTTTCGATTCTATTTTGTTTTGCAGCTCGATGAAAATGCTAATAAGGAAAAAACTGATACTGATAAGAACATGGCTACTATGTTTGATATTCTGAGAAGAAAGAGGAAAGTCACGCTTGAAAATTTGATATTGAATCGAAACTCCTTTGCACAAACTGTGGAAAATCTATTTGCTCTGTCCTTTCTGATAAAAGATGGTCGAGCTGAGTTATCAGTAGATGATTCTGGATGTCATCTGGTTTGTAAGTATCCTTTTTATGTGCTTATTCTTATCTGTTGTGT